CAGCAGACGATCCAGCAAAATCCGGCTGATATAGGTTTGATGCCATCAATACTACCATAACTTTTGAGGCTACAGACTATCAGCAATCTGATTTTGATTTCTCTTAGATTTGATTCTCACCCCTCCTCCCGATCTTGATGATGGTGTGTGGAAGTACGAACACCTCCGTCAGTTCTGTCTACAGCTGAACGGTCTGGCCTTTATGCTGCAGGTACTTTGATTTCCTGTAGTATTGCTCTGTGTACGTGACTATTTTGGTTATCCGTACTTATTTCTAACAGAGGCATAGACCGGGCTTTTGCAGATTATTCATTCTATTGAAAAATAGCTAACAGTGCGTACGACAAAGCGATAGAGGGCCTTTAGGGACTGGTGGTTTTATTGGAGATGGTGTACTCAGGCGTGCATCTCTTTTTTTCTGCGAATACTATGAGGTGTTGCTCTGCATGTTACAGAGTGCATTTTTATAACTACGAAGAGAAGCAGATTGATCGCCGGACTCGCGAGCCCAGCAAAAAACGAGTCGAGATCTCAGCATTAGATCCTGTCTCCCACGCCTTATCCTGTTTTACTGCGAGAGAGTTGAACTGTCAATTCCTTTTCTCCAGAGAAAGCAACCCAGCTCTTGCAGCAAGGCAAAGAGGGCGAGCTAGGATTTAGGGCCAGGAACAGGTCCATCTCTTCTTTCTGGGCTCGTATGCCTAGTTGATCATTTTTTGCTAACTATGGATCCCAGTGTGAAACCAATGGAAATCAGATAAAGATTACTGAATAGTGCGGTACAAGGCAAAAGATCCTCCAGCTTCTCTCTTCTTGCAACCTCGGTATGTTAATTGTAAGTGACTAATTCTTCTGTGCCTCACGAGGTTGTTAGGTGGAACCTTTATTAATGCATAAAGCCTAACGTTTCGACTGGTCTTCAGAGGCCAATGGCTCCACCGTTTGCGCGGAGAAAGTCCGCAGCCACACGAGAGCGTTAGTCGTTTTATAAAGTAAAGTATAAAGTCAGTTGAGTTGATATTTAGAGTGAATTATGAAGTCGCTTTATATCCGACTAACGCTCGTGTGGCTGCGGAATTTCTCCGCGCAAATGGTGGAACCTGGCCTCTGAAGGCGACGAAGCCAGTCAACGCGTTAGGCCTTATGTACTAGTAAAGGTTTCACTTAACAACCTCGTGAGGCACACAAGAATTATCACTGAATAGTGCATCGCATCGATAAACACTTACCTGATTAAAGGATAAAGTCTTCGCCGTTGATCAATCCCTTTGTGGGATGCGGCACGCATTCTACTTCCATTCAGAATCGTAGTGGCTTATTGAATGCGATGTGGCCTATACAATGACTTGCGGGGCCAGCCGATGTACAAGTCAGTGTTCTTATCCTTCCAGGCAAACCTGTTCACCATCCCCGGAGAGTTAGGCCTGTGTGGAGCCGACCCGCGAGTTGTGCCCTAGACCGCGCGATTGCTAACCGCGTCACTGCACCACCATCGCTTCTTATCCTGGACTGATTATGTACACAAATACCCTGAACTCATCATTCCATGCTGTTTTTGGCAGGGATTACTATAATGTTTTTGAGGAGGAATGCAACCCTGAAACTTGCATTCAAATGACAGCTACGGAACAGTGGATATTCCTTTGTGCTGCCCATAAGAATCCAAAAGAGGTTTGCTCTTGCTATCGTTTATTTCAAATGTAATATAGCGTTATATTGTAGTCTATTACTCTGCTTTCATATTTTTCGATGCGGTTTTCTGGAAAAATCAGCTTTCTGAGCGAAAAGAATGTGTATTCATCGATCTGGCGTTTTGTAAGAACCAGCGTTTTGGGAGAATCGGCGTTCGGAGCAGAAAAGAAAACACAAGTATCGATCGGCGCTCAAAATGTCGATTATCTCGGAATGCTCAAAAAGCTGATTCTTCTGAGAGCGCTAACGATGGATACCTATGCTACTTTTCGCTCAAAAGGCTGATTCTCCCAAATGGTGGGGCTGCAAAGTATGGACGCAAATTTACAAATTTTTTTTTGTATCTCATCATTTCTCATTGTTGTAGTGTTCGGCTATCGACTACACAAGACATACACTTGATGGTGCAGCATCACTCCTTAACAGTAACAAGTATTTCCCGAGTCGAATAAATATTAAGGTATGCTTTAGTTAATGAAATACTCAGTGTGCAACTAGTTTCGTATACGTTCTAGCTGGGATTTCACATAGAACTACGAATTTCATCACGTAATGCGCTGCAAATATGTTTATGACTGCCGTTCTAGTTTTTCGTAATAACCTTGGGAGGGGCATGTTAGGGCTTCTTGTCCAAATCTAGGTAAGAATTTTTGCCTAGATCAAGCACGAAACAAACATTGGTCTTTGGTCTTGTGTTGTAATTTTTTCACCCTTCTCATGTCTCCTTCTTACTCCTAACTAGATTCAAGGGGAGAAGAAGCTCAACGGTTAGTGAACCAGTTTAGGTACCGCAGTTCACGGGAATCCAAGTTTAGCACAAAAATCCTTTGAACACCTTCCTAACCTCCCTCCGCTTCGTGTACTTGTCTTAATATTGTGGCCATGTTCTCGGCGATCATATTCTCGTGGAACTTAGCTATTAGGTTGGGTTTCTCGCTGCCTTCTCTCTTTGCAACCTTTCCCTTAATTGGTGTCATTTGCGTCATTCAGCCTTCAGTTAGTGAGCTCTTGAGGAGACGGTTTTCCAAGCTGATTTCTACCATTTCTTCACAATCTACATCTCACAGCGAAGGTAGCAAATTGTAGCTTGACCCTGTTTTATTTGAAGCTCTGTGAAAACTCGCTTCCTCATTGTCTAGCCCACACGTCCTGGTCGTAGCGCTTTGAGAGAACAGCAAGAGGTTTGAGTATTTGTTTCGCATGTGGTGCTAATAAATGCTGTTTAGGAATCGTCACTATCGAAATTGGGTTCTGTGTGTCGACGAGTGTACAGGATATTTTCACATGCTTATTTCCATCATAGACAATTATTTGATGAATTCGAAAACAGCACTCATCTTTGCAAACGGTCAGTTTGGCAGGGTATCATCTTCATCAATCTTTCCTTTACAGAAGTTCATAAGTTTTCTCGCTCCTTTATGCTTCGCTTAGGTTTAACCATTTTTGATTCACAGCCAGCGTGGCGAAATTTTTCCCTTCTCGCTCAATTTCCAGTAGCACTGTCCAACTCTTACCACCAACAATACAGTTTAGTTGTGTACCGTGTGTCACTTTCATTCGAGATTTCCCAACGGTTTTGGATTTGTTAAACTGCGACACATGACTCCGAAAAGAGTCCCTAAAAAGTTGTTCCGTAGTAGTGGTGTGTATGGGAATACTGAGAAGCTTGCGAGCTTTCGTCGTTTTAGTAGGGTGTCCACAAAGTTCGTTGGCCATTTGTAAACAGCGTCGCGTTACGCAACGCGTTGTGATTTTGCATAAAGATTTCGCAATACTGAAAGTACTCGCGATGGGCTATCTTCTGAGCTAGCTAGCTCTAAATTTCCTTTCCTGCTCTTCCCACAATAAAGCAGTGAAGATGAGTGATAGTCACCACCACCGCCGATGTTTGCTGGACTACTACAACCTGGGCATCTCCAGACGTCAGGCCACGACCAGGATGCGTCAGCAGTTTGGTAATAACACCCCTTCTAAGAACTGGATGTCAAAATGGTGGACTCGCCTCACCAATGAAAACTATGGCATCGAAGATATGCCGAGGTTTCTGGTTCTCTCGCACGGCGTCGTCCACTACAGCATCCTACCCAACAATGCCACAGTGACGGCAGAGACCCTCTCTAAAGAATTGCAGGAGGTCAAGGTGAAAGCTGCCGCCTTGTCCCAGAAACTTGCAAATCCGTGGTTGCTCTGAGACAACGCGCGCCCCCACAAAGCGAGAGATACTCAGGCCGTCCTGGACAGGCTGGGCATCAAGACGATCACGCATCCACCGTATAGCCCGGACATTAGTCCATGCGATTACCACATCTTCCGGTCCATGCAAAATTTCTTGGACGGAAAACAGCTGAAGAACGAGCGCGACCTCGAGGACGTGATCGAGGACTGGGCCGAGTCGCGGCCGGCCAGCTTTTGGGAGGATGGAGTTGCCTCTCTACCCGATCGTTGGCGAAAGGTAGTGGGTATGCATGGAGATTATATCATGGACCGGTAAGTTCAACTTGGTGAGATATCTTTACCAGCTCTGAAAAAACGAATGGCCAACGAACTTTGTGGACACCCTAATATTTTCACGCTGTTCTAGGAGCGTGGAAGTTTTTTCTGGGGAAAGCCTCAGGCTTAAAGCCGCAACTTTTTGCACAACGTTAGGTTAGACAAGGTTTACGGTGTCTGTGCTACTTTCCCTAAAGACTTAGTTGATCACGTTATTTTCCTCGCTTTCAAGGGCTTTAGATGAAGCCTTAGCCATTTATCAACCCCTTTTGGAATGTGGCTTGCATCCTACTTCCAATGAGGATCGCAGAGACCTTTGAATGCTCTATGGCCTGTAATGACCTGCTTGTCCAACCAGTGTACAAGTAAGTGGTTTAATCTCCTGGAGAAAGGGAATCTAGTACCGACTGACCGATAGGTAAAAGGATTGGTCGACATGGGAAGCACTTACTTCCGGATCTACCCTAGACTGCGCACATGGTTTGGCCCACCTGCTACACACCACTTCCTGCTCCTCCTCACACTTACAGCTACCGAAATAGTTCCATTCTGCTCTAGTTTCACAGTTTTACGACGGATGTAAGTATACCGCTTTCTCTGAAATATTTTTCATTCCAGATTCACCACCTACGTGACGAAATACAACTTGATGGCTCAGGAGCATCTGATCGTTCCTATTCTACCAAGTCAGCAGTCGTAGGATTGTGGTTTTATCTGCTAGAATTAACAATATTTCGACTCCGGTCGTTTCATGCATACGTGTAGTGTAATTTCCTGTCGAGCGAATGCTTGTTTTATATAAATGTTATTTCCACTAAAAATATTTTTCATTCAACTAACTGTCTGTGTATTGTATTTAGATCTTATATTTCGAAGGCATAGTTTGAAATATTACTTTACAAAGTATCATTAGTGTGATTTTGGAAGTAGCTAAGCATTGCTTTGCTAATGAACGATTTCTTTCTAATTTGTAACATTCGAAGCCAATACATGTCTTTTTCATGCTTGTTGGTTTCATGCCGAATGGACGATTGAATAGGTACTATTCTCGGAGTCACATTATCCTTATGTTCTTATCCTTGTGTCCAGATGAACAGTTCGTTTTCGTGAATGATGTCAGAAAAAGAATTCCTGATTTTGAATTCACCGTGACACTTTCTCAAGGCCACCACTTATCGAACCCTTTCGCGTAGACTGTTTGTCATTCTACGAATTCGATTTTGAATGAGGCTAAGAAGAACAGGTTTGGATAGAGAGTCTCCTTTGCCCCTTGCCATCAGTGGTTTCAACTTCCCATGAAACTTCGAAGGGACACCCTATGTATCGTAGGACTTTAGCAGGCTTGTTACAGACATGGGGACCAAAATTGCTACCTGAGTCTTTTAAGCGAGTTATTAGGTTGTAAGGAAAGTTTGAGGAAATTTAACACTTAGTCTGAAGAAGTGTAGCAAGCGATGTCCAACACAAAGGTTATATAATGACTCGGACTATCGGTGCTGTCTCGGGTTCTCATTTCTTATCCGAAGTTGTATTAGAAAAACCCAAAAATTTATTTTAAAAAAACTCAAAAGTTTTTTTTTAAATATCTTATCTTGCGATATTTCGGTGCGTAGCACCTTCGTCAGGCCCAGTTGTCTCGGAAAAAAAGGCAAGATAAGATATTTTAAAAAAGCTTCCGAGACTTTGGGAGTTTTTTGAAATAAATATTGGAGTTTCACATTGTTCCTTCACATTCATATAATAACTGCTAAGAAAGAGAAATGTTTGTAGATCAATCCTAATGCTGGCTGTTATTATTCTCCATTGTTGGTATGAGTTGACATTACCTGAAAAATGCACTAGCGCACACGACTCCCAACGCCTTCTAATTCATCTTCACCGTTACTCTAGCGGTCAAATCGGGAATGGGGCACTGTCACCGATGGTCTATAAAGCACTCCCAAGAATTTTATGTAGTAGGAGATCACGTTTCGTACATGTAAGTTCAGCTTAGATGCTGCGTACGCCCCGCATTGTAGGTACTTCCTTATCTCTTCTTGTTGCTAATAAATGTTAAATGAGCTGGTTGAAATTTCTCAAGAACATTCCGGACACCCTAATAGAAGCGACAAAGTCACGGAACTTGTGAAAAAATTATTCCCTAGGCACCGATAACGTGGCGTTGTCCGTTTTCCAGGCGTTTTCGTACTAAATGGACATTGCATTCGTGTCTAGAAAGTTACAATGCCTCCGGGGACGAAATTCCCAGCTGAACAATAAGTTCTTTGCGCTTAGGTGTCACGGGATAGCAGTGCCAACCACGAAAAGCTCAGGTATTGAGTAGTTTAGCAAAGAAAAATTTGAAACTGGAAAATGTGGCTCTTCTAATGGGTTATATGGCTCAGAAAAATTTGGAATCTGGTGGAGGGGATTCAGGCGGGGTAATTGACCGGCTTCTCTTGTCGCTTTTAGTACTGCCAGTACGTAGTTTAGTACGAACCCATCCCTCTTTCCAGAATCCCACTGGAATACTTTTTATCACCTGCTTTCCAGATAACTTGGCGACGCTATTCTAGTAAGGGAGAAGGTCATGGAGCAGTCGACTAGATGATCCATTCCCCTCCAGACCCCTACTAGAACAGCTCAAACGATCGGAAACGCGCAGCCTCTGATCTCGCGCCGCATAGAACTTTCGCGCCGCATAGAACTT